AGTCCAGGTGGTTGAGTATCAGAGTGTTCCATCTCGTTTCCCTTTGGGGTTGCTGTAGGTGATCTGGAAGTCTGTTTTTGAGGCTTGTTTACATGATTTCTCATTTCATGGGGGGGTGGGATGTGCTATTGGCACCCATGCAGCTCACCTCCTCTGCCCTGGGAGTGGTGGAATGGTGGAGGGGAGCCTCCTCCTGGGCGCTGGGATTGACTCACCTCCTCTGCCCTAGGAGCAGTGGAATGGCGGCGGGAATGCTAAATTTTTCTTATAAAACTCATTTTTATATTTCACAATAAAAACAGTTTAGGAATACTGAGATTCTAAAACCTGACTAACTAAAATACTTATTATTTTATTGGTATAAAGGAATGGGGGGAAAGACAGACTAATGTCACATAAAAATGTAGCTATTTTAATTAGACTGTTTCCAAGGTGATTACAATGAATACATTAACCAAACCAAAAAACGTCTTGGATTCTTGGCGACCTTTACTGGAGCACATTCTCTTGTCCCTTCTTTTTAAATAACAGTAGAGAGAAAAGTAAATGCTACTGAGGCCACAGTCAGTCGCCACAATACTTCCAGTCCCATTTTGGAAATCATTTTTCCCTTATTAGGTCTAAAATATGAAAATAAGAGACCGGAATCCAAAAGGTCCACATCATGATGAAAACCATCCAGTGGATGCAAGGACAAGAATGACCTCGGTACTCAACCCTAGAGTCACTTTCTGGCAGCCCTTCAAAGTGCTCCTCAATTTTAAGTGCAGAAACCTGGCGCCATGCCCAGGGGTCTTGCTGATACTCAGGTTCCCAGGCCCTGCACAGGGCAATGCAGGAATGGGGCCACAACACTGCTTACTGAGGCTGGTCAGATCTCAAGTTCCGGAGAAATACAGAATCCTAGCTCTTCAATTCCCTCCTCCTCCCAGCCCAGCGGTGTCAGGCAAGTTCCTATGCCTCTGGAAACCTCTGTTTCTTCACCTCAGAAAAAAAGCTAACGTCAACTCTCAGGCACATTCTGAGGAATAAAAGCACCAGTCTGTGAAAAGGATCTGGAACATAACTGAGGGTGAAAAATCATTAGCTCCACTTACCACCCACCATTAGCTTTCAATTCGGGGTTGAAAAGTCATAAAGAAAAGGTGATTTTTAGGACAGGCCTCTGATCAGAACCAAGACTCCAGACTGCAGATGCCAAAACTATCACTTCATTCTTTCAATCCAAAAGGATTGACTTTTCCCTGTGGAAAAGTCCCAGTTTGGGTTATTTCAACCTCAGCTTTTCAACCTACTAAGCCCCTCTTCCGATGTAGCACTCAAGCTTTTACTGGAACTCTTCCTCCTTAATTCAAAATTACCTGCCCCTCACCCCTTTATGTAACTATCTGAAGGAAGATACTAATCACATCTGATGGACAACAATGTCCAAGAAGGCCAAGTCAAATATTTCAGAATGAAAACAAAAAAAGAAAAAAAATTTCAGAATGTCTGCTTCCTAATATCATGGACAAGATAATATAAATAATTACAATAATATTGTAATAGATAGCTTTAAGTTTTTCCTAAATCAGGTGTTTTTTAAATTTTTCAGGAAAAATACTTTCTAAATTTTTAGTGGTAAAAATTTCCAAGTTGTGACATATGAAGTATTTTTTTTAAAAGAAACAAGGTCTCACTATGTTGTTCATGCTGGCTCCAAACTCTGAACTCAAGTGATCCTCCTGCCTCAGCCTCCTGACTAGCTAGAACTATAGCCACGCATCACTGTGCCTGGCCAAGCCACAAAAATACATTTAATACAACATTTAAATACAACATTTAGTTGTAAAACTCGAAAACCTTAATAACCTTGGATGTATATTCATGATTGAAGTAATTTGGCAATGCACCATTTAATTCTTATCCTATCAAGGGCTCTTCAGAGCTGACAATACCACAGTAGAAGTAACACAAAGGAAGAAGACCCACTAAGTGCTGAGGGTATGCAATCAGACAACACAGGAGACATGGTGGTATGAACAGGAAACGCACTGATAGATTCTGATGTGGGCTATGAGGAAAAGCTCGGTGAGAGCTGCTACAGGAGACAGAAGAGTCGGGAAAGACCTCTCTGCGAGGTGACCCCAGAGAGCGTCTGTGGGTGGGGAAGGCTCTCGGTGCAGGCACAGTCCAGAGCTGGGATACGGGGCAGGCACACAGATGTGATCCGCACCACTTACCGCGAGCTGTGGGCAGCAGGAAGACCACAGCGTCCCCAGGAGGAGCAGGAGGGAAAGGCAGGCAGGCTGGGCTGCATCCTTCCTTCCTCTTTGTCCTCCACCCTGACATGGGGCTCCCCAGCTCTGTGACAGAACGAACACACCCCAAAGACAGGAAGACACGAGACATGGCATGTTTATTCAGGGGCCCCATGGTAGGTGGCCCCAGCTTGTGTGAGGAAAGGCAGGAAAGGTGAAAGAGGCAGACTGCAAAGAACCCATGTGCCATTCGAGGACTTCAAAGTGCGTCCTGAAAGGAAGGAGGGTCCATCAAGAGCTGAAACGGCAGGCGAAGGACTGCCGTGGTCTGGATGCTCTTGTCCCTCCCCAAATGGGTATGTTGAAACCTAACTGCAGTGTGAGGGGTGGGGGGTGGGGCCTTTCCTGGGAACTGGTGTCCTCATGAGAGAGGTCCAAGAGATTAGCCGTGTTCCTTCAACCATCTGACGATGAAGCCAGAAGACAGCTGTCTACGAACCACAGAGGAAGCCCTCCACGGACACCAAAGCACTTGGATCTTGGACTCTGTAGCCTCCAGAACCATGAGAAATAGAGTTCTGTTGTTTATAAACCACCCAGTTTGTGGTATTTGGTCACAGCAGCCTGAACAGACTAAGGCAGGCAGAGATCTCCTCACAACAGCCTGGAAGAACTGATCTTGGGGGACACAGGGGCCTGGGAATTTGGGGCTTTCTAAAATATGACAAGAGTCATAGCTAGTAACACATCAGGCATCAGCTAATCTAAGGGCCCCAGGACTTCCATACTAGATAGAATCCACTTCAAGTTCATAACATTTAGTTGTAAAACTCGAAAACCTTAATAACCTTGGATGTATATTCATGATTGAAGTAAAACTGTTAATGGCAAACAGAAGTGTAATTCATTCACTTTTAATACAAAACACTTCACATTTCTAAGCTTCAACACAACCGCCATCTTTCATAGCATATTGTTCAATCCAATTTTCTAACTCGTTGAGAACATTCTCCAGTTGCTGGTGAGTGATTTCCTAAATTGCATTCGTGCTCCCTGCTCGAAGTTTCCCCAAAGAATGTGGTTCTGATTAGCAAACAACAATTTTAACAAGCTTGCTTCTATCAAGTGTATATCCAAAGCCATTAAACCTTAAAGGTGCAAGGGGACTTTATAAACACCTCCATGTCTACAGAAAAACTTGGGGAGCTCCTGTGATATGCATACTGATAGCCAGCAATTAGAATGCTTTCCTCTCTCCTCCCAAAAGACTCTGCTGAAGCGCCCCACCAGGAAGATTCACCACTATCCCCTTCCAGAATTCTTTTCACCACCACAGTACCAGGCATATTCTATAGCCCCGCTCTGCTGGGGAAATGTTTAGTTCCCTTCCCTGCACTTCCCTCCACTGAATGCCATGGTCAGCAGATGACCTTCTGCTATTTAAGACCTGTTATGGACTGAACACTCCCACCTGGAATTTGTGTACTGAAGCCCAACCCCAGTACCTTGTCATTTGGGGACAGGACCTTCAGAGAGGTAATGAAGTTACAGTAAGGCTGTGGATGAGGGCGGGACCTCATCCAACCTCACCGATGTCCCTATAAGAAGGGGAAATCTGGTCACAGGCACAGAAGGAAGAATTCCGGAACACATCAAGAACCAACCTCCAAAACTGTGAGAGAACAAATTTCTGCTGTTCAAGCCATCCCATCTGTGGGGTTCTGTTATGCTACAAAACACAGGACCGTACCATCAGCATTTCCACACATCTTTCTCCATAATCTGCTTGAGGGAGACTGGCTTGCTTGCTGCCATCTCAAGATCTCTGCCTTTACTATTCTTTTCACCAAAAGGAACTGTCACTCAATCTCAGCCTCCCCAAACCTCTCCAGCCAAGCCTGCAAGGCCACAGGCCACTCCTCACAAAGCCAGAACAAGATGATCCTCCAGATCTCAGCTGAGTGCCTAGAGCCACCTACTTCTCTGGCCCAGCACAGGCCCTCCTACACCAACACTCTCTATGCTGGAGTATGTTGCGCTTTCTTGAGCGTTTGCCTTGATATAATCCATGCAGAGAAAAATCTTTAGGGTAAAAATGAGATCTAAACTTCTCTGTCTCCTTTACTGCCCAGTGTGGGTCCTTAACTTCTCTGTGGCTTCCTGTCCCCTCCTTGGCCGACCAGGACGTGTTGCAGGGACATGTGGCAGAGCACATATCTCAGCGCACACGGAATGGGTCCCATCAGTGCAGGTGAAAGGGCTCATCAGCCTTGCCAAGGTGAACCACATACAAGACTGGGGCACAGATCTGGATGCTGTTGATCAAGACCGAGTTCATGTGCTTTCAAAGGCCAGTTCAGAACACACAGCAAGTGTCCATCTGCCTATGTCAGGTTATAGTACACACTGAGAAGGCTCCAAAGTCTTCGACCTCACTGGCTCAATGGCTAAGCAGGAGCCAAAGAAAACAGAGTGCAGGAATACTGAGAAAGAGGAATTAATGCAGATCCTAGTGACCCAGCTCCACGTGCTAGCTAACCCCACCCCCACCCCAGCTGTGGCCTTGTGTGTTCATTCTGGTAAAAATCGGTGAAGTAAGCTCGTGAAACCACACTGATAGGGAACAAATCACTCTTAAATTCTAGACTTTACTAATCATTTCTAAACCTACAGGTTAATAAGCACAAACCAACAAGAATTTTCCCCACGAGGCCCTGAATTAATGCTGAAGACCCACTGCTCACACACCATACACAAACGACAGAGGAAAAGAACAGCCTAGCACCAAGCTGTAAATCCCATCCTTCAATTTAAAAATCATACATTTCTTATTCCTGAGGTCTGAATCCATCTACAGTGTCTTAGTTATCAATTGCGAGGAGCAAGGCAAACATTTGCAAAATCTGTCGCTATTTCTTAACTCATTAACACACGCGCAACTCTCTTCAACTCACTGGCATCAGCTTCTGGCTTTTCCTACCTTGACTTTGCATTCATGCAAAAGTTTTCTCTAAAATGGATGGGGGAGTGGGTCGAAGGATACAAGGCAGGTAGAGTCCTTGAAGTTAACAAAGCCTTCCCTGGCCCCACCAGAAGGGCTCCTGAATGCAGAAAAGACAAAAGATACAAGCGCGCTCACAGCTGAAACAGGTGCTTGCCGACTTCCGCGTCTACTGCACTGAGTGGGTCGTCCAGGAGGTAGATGTCAGCGTCTTGGTAGAGAGCCCTAGAAAGTGGAAGTGGTGTTAGAAGAATCCCTCTCACTCCCCAACGCTGTCCTGGGAACCACAGGGACAATCGACAGGATGTTCACTGTGAGCACCAGGGGATAACCCGAAACCAGGGCTTCCTGTGGGGTCCACATGCAGGGAGCCAGTTCCGCACGTTCCCAGCAGGGGAAGCCTTGGGAGAGGGACAGGCAGGCGGCTGCGCAAAGGCGATTTACCTAGCGAGGTTCACTCGTGCTTTCTGCCCTCCGCTCAGCGTGGCTCCCCGATCTCCGATCACAGTCAGATCCCCATCTTCCAAAATCTGTAAATCCTACAAGGAGCAAGAGAAGAGCAGGGGAAAAAGACCTAGAATGAGTGTGTCACTGTCATCCAGAAGTGCAGCAGAAAGCCTTCACAAGTAACACGTACTGGATCAGCGGCGAGGGCTGTCTTCCCATTTCAAATTGCAGCTTTGAACCTTTCTAAAAAATTCTCAGAGCATTTTAATACTGTAGCTTTTCACAGTATTTATATACCTATTTCAACAGATTCAACTTACTGAGCAGAAGCTGCAGGCCAGGCACAGTGATTTCAGCAGTGAAAGAGACGGAGTCCCTGCAGTCCCTGCGATGGGAGGCTGACAATGCAGTAAAAATTCACGCAAATGCATGTGGTGATAAGTATTAAAGAAAAAAAAGAAGCTAGTGCAGGGAGACAGAGCGTCCACTTTATATAGGGCGGTTAGCAAAGCCTCTGATCGAGGGAGTTTAGCTGCAGACCCATTGGAGGGTGAGGTGGACCGGCACAGACTGGGAAAAGGGGGACTATGTAGAAGGGGCAAGTAAGTGGAAAGACCACGGGGCACATGCATGCCCAGGATGTGCAAAGCAGAGCAACTCTGCGGCCTACGATTCTGGAGCCAAGTGAGGTGTTGGAGGCCAGAGGGGCCATACTTTCACCTCCAGCAAAACGGTGAGAATGATGCAGCGTGGATTGGGTTGTTGAAAGAATCACTCCTCTCTCTTTGCAGAAAAGAGGTGCAAGGACAACACAAGGTAGAAGCTGTCACAACAATGGTGGGGAGAGAGGTCCGTGGCTGGACTTGAGTGGGAGCAGGGGAAAGGAGCAGACTTGGTCACACTCCGGACGTGTTCTGAAGGTGGAGCCTTTCACACTGCTGACAGGCTGAGAGTGAGCAGCGAGTAGAGAGGAGGACGCTCTGCTCCTGGCCTGGGAGAGCACAGACTGAGCTGGGGGGGGGGGGGCTGCCAAGTTAGGGGATGAGTTCACTTATAACCAAACAGCTGCTGCTGCTGCTGCTGGACACACGGGCTTGAAAATATGCGCTGAGGAAAGAACGCTGAGAGGGCTATCAGCAGGCATCCGACTTCGCAGGACATGGGATTTATTTTACCAAGGAACGGGTGCATCTTGCCTCACAAGCCATTTTGCTGATGCTACCTCAGCTTCCCACTTCTAGAGAAGCGATAACACAAACAGGGACACTTAAGGCACCATCCAGAGCGCCAGACAAAATCTACATGAGAAGAGCAGGAGGGGCAGCTTGCGCAAGGGAAACCAAAGGAAGAGAAACTGTCTTGCAGGGACACCAGGCAGATCAGCTTAGCTAAGGAGATTCTTGTTTTGTGGGGGCGGGGCAGCCTAAAAAACAGATAAATTACATTGGAGCATTATTTAAGAAGTAAACTGACAGGGTGCAAACCTTAACAAAAAGATGACCCCCCCAGTACCAAAAAAAAAGATGACAAGATGAGATAACCATCAGGTTGAAGATACGAAATATTCCATTAGAAATATTTATGCAATTGCCTAAAAGTATCAAAGACAAAGAGAAGTTGTTGTACATCAACTGGACATTCAGAAACATCAACCACAGACTCTGCAGCAATAGCCCCTATTGCAGATCTACCTTCATTTCTTTATCTCGACTTTGGCAAATTTGGGGACTAAGCACACACACACTGGGTTCCCCATGGAAAGCAAGTCCTCTGACCTCCCTGAGTCCTTGTCTACAAAATGTCCTGGAGAAAGAATAATTCCTAAACTCACAGGAGTCTGAGAGAATCAAAAGGGATACTTGTATGAACACCCTAGATCAGTGGTGGTGAACCTATGGCATGTGTGTTATTTTAAGACAAAAGATGTTAATGTATGAGTTGGTTTTGCAGTATTCAGGTTTAATTGCAGTCTTGGCACCTTTTGATACATAAGTGGGTTTTGAGTTGCAGTTTGGGCAGTCAGTCTCTAAAAGGTTCGCCATCACTGCCCTAGATAGATAGGAAAAGGACATGAATTAACTGCAAACTGATGACTGGTCCAAACAACAGTGGGACACCATCAGAGAATCCAGAGAGAATGAAACTCTTTCTACTACAACCCTCCCCCGACAGCTCAGAGACACAGCCATACACAGAGCTTCCGACATACGCAAAGCTGACTTGTACTGCATCAGAGGAAAAAGCAACAATCCCCATTATGAAAATGTGTTATATTTCATAGTTTTCTCATTGAGTTCAGAAGTGGACACCATATCTTGTTTAGTTCTCATGAGAAAACTTGAGCTGTCTGTGGTTCCCCCACCCCACCCCACCCCAGGGGATCGAACTCAGGACCTTGCACTTTCGAAGCAGGCACGGTGCCACTGAGCTACAACCCCGGCCAACTTGAGCTGTTTTAAGTCAAGTTTCCAGCCTCCAACCCCACACACATTGCTTCCAGGGCCTCTGTTTCATCCTGATAGTCTCTGTTATATGTTCTGCTTAATTTCTGAGCCTTGATTTTATGTTGCTTTGTTTTATTTCTCAAAGTAGCATAAGGATGTAGCACAGCAGTCTTAGCCATTTTCTGAAAAGGAATTAAAATCTCTTTCAGCTAGGTGTAGTAGCAGATGCCTGTAATGTCAGGCTCTGGCAGGCTGAGAAGGATCACAAGTCCAACTCCAGCCTGGACAATTTAATGACTTAGCAAGACCCTGTCCCCAAATTTAAAAAAATTTTAAAGGGTAGGGACATAGCTCAATGCTAAGGTTCTGGGTTCAATCCCCAGTACCATCTCTCTCTCATTCAGCAAAGTTAGAAAACAAGAAATGACTGGAAGACTGACAAAGAACTGTGAGTACAGCTCCAAGTGCTGTTGACTCAGCAAACTATTTAGACAAGCCTTTGACAGGGAAAACACCTCAAAGGTTTCAAAATAAAGTCTGAGCCAGGCTCATTTCCTGGACTTAATCTTTGGTTTGGTAAAAGGAAAAGCATGACATAAATGTAGGTGACAAGGGTCCCCACTGACAGGACATTTTACATTAGCAACCCTCTCCATAAAATTAAGCCAATTATTTCATCTCCAACTGCTTTCCTGGAAAAGCACACAGGTAACTAGAGGACAACCAAGAAGTGGCTCTGCTGGTTTGATGTCATCAGGCAGAGACGTATCAAATGCACTTTCAGCGTGGTGCACATTCTACTGAGGAGTCATTGTGATGAGTCCTGAAAGCCAGAAGAACTGGATCCCAGCACCTCTGCTCACAGCCGTTCTTCCAGATGGAACTTCCCCTCCTTCATAGCCTGTCAGTTACCTCCCCATCCTTCCAGGTCCACCCCACTCTCTCTTCTACGAAAACATCCTGTTCCACTAGTCAGAAATCATCCCTCTGACTATAGGCTTCCTAAGCCTTTGTTTAAATTTCTCAAAAAGTACCTGCCTTATTCTGGGTCATAGCGTTTACGCTTCTGTTGCTAAGCTCCTGGATGGTGAGAACTATGCACCAAGCACTGGTCTCCATGCCCGACTTTTCCTCTAATCCTCACCACAACTGGCATAGTAAATACTGGCCCATTTCACAGAGGAGGAAGTGGTGGCCAAGTGAGGGTTTGGAACTGGGCTGAGGCCTCTCAGGGATTATAAAGAAGAGATGGAACGTTAACCAAGCTCATCTGGGAACTGAGCATTTTATTATTCCATATTAGGCTGCCAAGTAGTTGCTGAAAGACATATTTAAAATAAAGGCAATACTACAGCAATTCAAACCTTGAAGGCCACTATATTCACACACAGATGTCAGTCTCCACTTTTAGATTCCTCTCTTGCATCCCTCTTGTACCCATTATTTCCTAATGTGTCATGAAGGACCCAATTGAGAGAAAAAATAAAAATGTAACAGTAATTATTCTGTAATTATCAGGACAAACTGAAAAGAAAATCTCCTTGTTGGTTGGAATCTGGCAAAAATGAGACAAAACTATAGCTTATAGGTGCCTCAGAGAGGTGATCTATGTGGAAAAACATTAAATGGATTTATTAATGCCACACGTCTGAAAAGTACTCGAGAGTTAAAGAATAATATATAGATGATTGTTGCACAATACATTCTTTTGTGTTTATGATGACAACAGCACAGTGGACCCACAAGTTCCAATGAGCCTGACATATAAACAACTTGAGTTACAATGGAATTTTAGTTTTAACTTATGAGCAAAGTCTTGAGTTAGGACCCAAATACCAGCCGCTTGTGCTTCCAGATGGTCTCAGATACAGATTTAACCCTCAAAGAGTTCTGAAAGGAACATTGCAACATCCTTTCCTGTGTGGGGTTCATTGAGAAATCCCGGGCCAATGTCTAAGGACACTGAGATCTGCCTGTACACAAGAGAGAGACTTTGAAGGCTGTGTAGAGGAGTCTGAGCCTCAATTGACCAACTTGAGTTACAACCAGCCCTCAGGAACGAATTGAGTTCCTAAGTCAAAGGTCCACTGTAATTTTACTGTTGGTCTATTAAGTTTCCTGCATAAAGTACCCACATATTATGGTTTACATTTAGAATGTCCCCTCAAAAACCGCATGTGTTCAGAGCTGGGGCTTTTGGAAGGTGAACTGATGGTAGGGGACAAATCCACTGATGAACCACAGCCCCATGTGCTGTCAGGAGATGGGGCCTGGTCGGGAGAGACGCACCATGGGGTGTTCGGCTCCCTCCTTAGCTCTCTGCTTCCAGGCTGCCAGATGTGAGCAGCTTTCCTCTCCAGACCCTTCCACCTTGCCCTTCTGGCCTTACAGCCAGCTGACTAACAGACTGAATGCTCAGAAAACCAGGAACCAAAATAAACCTCTCCTCCTTTAATCTGTGAGTGTTAGGGACAGTGTATCAGAGATAAAAAGAAACGACTAAGACACTAAATGCCAACTCAAACAGCAGAAGTTACATACCCAGACACATTCTAGTATGTCACAGTTTATCCAAAACTGGGGTTAAAATGAAAAGCTAGTATTTACAGGGAGCCTGTTATGTGCCAAGGAATCAGGTGCTTTAAATT